TTCTCAGGCCGCAGCCTGGTGATCTGTCTCAGCAAAACTCAAGTTGATGCCTGCCAATGATTGACCTTGGATAACAGGGAGGGAGGTCGGAAGCACTTCTCTCCCAGTTAGCCACCGGCTCTAATGCACATCTACCTTCTCACCGTGGCTGGTTCTCTTCAGGTTCTGTCTCTCCTGCCTCTCTTCCCTGCCCCACCCCAGCACCAGAGGCCTTCTTACCTTCCCCTTACCTATCTAAAAGAGATCTGGGGTGGGGGGAGCTGGGGGTGCTGCTCACTGGCACGTGGGAGGCACTGGGTTCAATCCTTAGCATCACATAAAAACAAAAGGTATTGTGTCCATCTACAACTAACTAACTAAACAAATAATAAATAAATAAGAGACCTGGGGAGTGATTCTTCAAAGAACAAAGGCAGCTGACTCCAAAGTGACCTTCAGACATGAGATTCATACAAAAGTTATAGAAATCCAAACATGACTTTATATATTCATGAGCACAAGTGGTTTAAATAAACACAACACATCTTGCCTATTCCATCACATGATCAGCTTTATTCATCGAAGTGTAAACGGAACTTGAATTCAGGATTTTGCTTGCGAGTGTCTGATTCTATGGCGCCTGCCAAACTGGTTTTACAGCTCCATGGCATCCCCAGATGTCCACCAGAGGTGACAGCTTTGGGATTTGTGCATTACTTCCAGGTTTAAAAATGAAAAACAAACAAAACAGCAAGCACTTCTCCATATGTGAATTTATGCCCTTAGTTACTTCATGTAATTTTTGTCTTTGCATGTGTGGTGTCCAGGGTACATGATAAAAATTGCCTTTTGCTAAAAAACATTCTTCACCCAAGACAGAGAAGCAGGGGTGTGAGAAGGGAGGGGTGGAGTGGAAATCAGGGCAACAGCACCATGCTTTGTATATACTGGCCCACCTGCCCAGAGCAGAGGTATTTTTACTTTTTTAATGGGGAGGAATCTTAGGGGACAATCTTTTCTTTTTAATGATTTTTTTAGTTGTAGTTGGACATAATACCTTTATTTTATTTATTTATTTTTATGTGGTGCTGAGGATCGAATCCAGGGCCTCACATATGTGGGGGGGTGCTCTACCGCTGAGCCATTTGGGGGACATTCTTAATGGCGGAGAACATAAAGAATATAAATGCTCTTTTGTGGCTCTTTTCAAAAAAAGAAGAAGAAGGAGGAGGAGGAGGAGGAGGAAGAGGAAGAGGAAGAGGAAGAAGAAGAAGAAGAAGAAGAAGAAGAAGAAGAAGAAGAAGAAGAAGAAGAAGAATAGATGCACCAGTGGAGAGAGCAATCATTTGCCTATCTTAACTCTGGATTGTTCTAATTTGCCTGTGTTCCATCTGATAGGCTGTGTGTGTGTGTGTGTGTGTGTGTGTGTGTGTGTTTTCTTTCTTTTTTTTGCACTAGGTATTGAATAGAGGGGTGCAGGGGTGCTTAACCACTGAGTCACATCCCCAGCCCTTTTAATTTTATTTTTTAATTTTGAGACAGGGTCTCGCTACATTACTTTAGGGCCTCACTAAGTTACTGCTGGCCTTGAACTTGAGATCCTCCTGCAGTGTGCGCCACCATACCCAACAATGACAACTTCCTCCTCCTCCTCCTCCTTCTGTTTCTTTGATAGGGAGGATTTGTAGGTGACAAATTACCCATGTAAAACCGTTGTCTTGAAGAAAATCCAAACATTGTCCAGGGTAAGAAGGGAAGGAATCCTTCCAACAGCTTCCCTATTCTACGTCTTCACCATAAGGCAACAACAGTTATTTTGGTTTATCTCCTTCTCTCCATCCCCTGGCTGCAGCCAGCGCACTTACAATGCAGCATCTCAGGCACCCCTCCTCCCAGAACTACAAAGTCAGAACCTGCTTGTGTGTGCGCGCCGCGCGCTCTCGCTCGCACTACTGAGCATTGAACCCAGGCGTCCTTTATCACTGAGCTACATCCCCAGCCCTTTTTATTTTAAAATTTGTCTTGATAAGTTGCCCAGGCTGGCGATCCTCCTGCCTCAGCCTTCAGAGTGGCTGGGACTATAAACGTGTTTGGCCAGAACCTGCATTTTAAAGTGACCCCCAGGTTGAAATGTGAGAAGCTGCTCACTATTTTTGTGTGCATTAACTTGCATATTTATATATGAACATACACATATGCTCCTTCCTGGGTTGAGGATGTGGCTTTAGAATGTGGCTCTTGGCAGAGGAATAATTCTCAAAGTGTGGCCTGGGAATTTAGCAACTTTAGCACCATTCCAGAACCTGTTAGAAATGCAAATGACCAGTCCCCGACCCCAGCCAGTGAATGCAGAAGATCTGGGGGTGCTAGCCTGCAGTCTGTGTTAAAACAAGCTTGCTACAGGCTCATACACCCGTTTTACGGAGGGGCCAATGGAGGCTCTGAGCAAGAGGTTTCTTTTCTCAAGTCAGAATTTCTTCAAGTCTGGGCAGGGCTCCCGCCCTCCCGAATGCAATGCCTACAGTGGATTTCCTTTTAAAAATAGCAGCCAGACAGACACCAGCTGACTCTGGGTGTGGGCTCCATGTCAGGCAACCGCAGTCCTCTCATTGGGGTGGATAAAATTGGATTTTAATGTTCAGAAAAATGTGAAGTGGCCCGTAAGCCAGCTAAGTGCCACCAGCTAGGTGGGTCTGCTGGGCCTTCGCCGGGGCCAGGATCTACAGGTGACCCCGGCCACTGGAGCTCTGCACCTTCTCCCAGAGGTTGACGTCAGTAGGGGCCGTTTGCCAAGTTCGCTGCCCAAGCTGGACCAAGCGGCCCTCCACCTTCTGCAAGAGAGGGAGAAGCGATTAAGGCCAGTTAAAGAAAAACGATCGCACCCTGAAGGATTTCAGGGAAAGGATTAAGTGCGGAATCGGGGGCGTGGAGGCCCTGAAGGAACCCTTTTGAGAGCTCATTTCCGCCTAAAAATTCTCCCCCCCAGATAAAGGATCGCGGCAGGCACGGACGGGGTTCGAACCCGTGATCTTCGGTTTACGAGACCGACGCCTTACCACTTGGCCACCGCGCCTGCGTTAGAATGGCGGCCCCGCGAACCTTATCCTGGCGCCGCTCCCGCGACCAGCCCGCGGGCGCGAGCGCGGCGCGAGCGCGGCCCCGCCCCTCGGCCCAGCCGGGCGGGGCCTCGCGGGCGCGCGCCGGCGGCTCCCCGCCCCCAAAGCGAGTGGGTGTCCCGGGCTTCGCTAGGGCGGCGTCCCCGGAGTCCCCGCTGGCTGCCCAAGACGCGTATCTGAAAGACCAAGCAAGTAGGGAGCCTGTTGGGTCTCGGAGTTCAGGGTTCGAATCCCGGTTCCGCCGGAGTTCAAGCGACCTTGCGCGGCTGGTCTCGGGAGCTAGATGGCAGCTAGTGGCAGCTAGATGGCCCCCGGAAGCGGAGGAGTGATGGCCCTTGTCAGGATCAGCCCGACCCCGGGGCTGACCGTGTCGCCTTGCTGCTGGTCGGGAGCAGTACGGACATTTAATAAAATAACCCCCCACACTCCTTCCCGCAGACTGCCCTGTTGGCTTTCGGTGTGTCCCTAGTCCCGGGACCAGCAGCAGCACCTGGGGTCTCCTTAACATGCCGCTCCTCGGGTCCAACCCGACGGGATGAATGCAAAATTCTGGGTGCAGCCCCGCCCCTGGGTGCTGCTGCTGTGCACGGCCTGAGCCCCAGCGCTCTCCCCATTCCTGTTCACAGATTAAACGCCTCCTCCTATTCTTATCCCGGTCGACTTCCCCGTCCTCTGCACTTTGATTTTTTCGTGTGTTAATGTGCGCTGTGCTAATCTAATGACTATTGTGTAATACGGTAAAATCACGATTAATACAAGCACGTGTAATTTAATAAACACGAGTTTTATTACTCAACGTGTTGCATAAGATCGACGCATATAGTAAATTATACACCCTGAAACATGTACTAAGATTCATGTGATCATTATGCATGAGTGGGTTACCTTATCCTCTTTAATAGCCGCATGGCTTTCGGCTGAGTGTTTGCACCACAAGGGATTTAATCCGTTTCTGGGAGCTAGACGTTGGGTTGCCTATGACTTTTTTTTTTTTTTCTGCAAGAACATTCTACTACATGTGTCTCTGCTTGCTGGTACCAGCGACACCATATGATTCATAGAGACATATATTAAGAATATATATATTAAGAATGTCCCCAGCTCAACATGCAGGTACAGAGGCAAAGAGGAAACTTCAAAATAACTAAGAAACTGTGTTCCCAAGTGGCTTTAAGGATCAGTGTTTGGGCAGGTGGAGAGAAAAGGCACAGGTATTTTCCCTCCAGACACGGGGACTGCAGCCCTGAGAACTTGCACCTGGAGTGTTTAAGATCCAAGTGCAAATCCCCCAAGCAGCTCCTTAATTAAAAAAAAAAAAGAAAGAAAGAAACCAACATGATGATCCACACCTGTAATCTCAGCTGCTTGGGAGGCTGAGGCAAGAAGATCTTAAGTTTGATGCCAGGCTCAGCAATTTAGGGAAACCTTGTCATAAAAGCAAACTGAAAAGGGCCTGGGAGGGTATCTCAGGGGTACAGCCCTTGTCTAACATGCCCCAGGCCCAGGTTCAAGTTCCAGCAACTCTAAAATAAATAAATTGGAGAAAATTTTTAGGATTAAAACACAAGTGAACTGCCGAGGAGTCCGTGACAAATGTTGGCTTCATTGTCCTCCTCCTCTGTTGTTGTTGTTTGTTGTTGGTTTGTTGGAATCATTGTACAGAAGCCGCAGGGACTTATAAAAAGTGGAAAGAAATTAGCAAATGAGGGGAAAATCACAGGGCAGCTGAGCCTAGAACTAACTGGAGGAGAAAGTCAGATTTTAAGAGGTAATTTTTTCAACTTTGTCTTCTGAGATGGAGGGAGGTGAGAGATCAGGGACATCAGGCACGTGAAAGGGCGTGTGCGTCTCGGGGCAGGCAGGACGCCTTAGATACCCATAGGTCCAGCAAGGTATCTGGCCTTCTACAAGCCCTAAACTGCAGAACACGGGTGCCAGGTGGAGGGTGTAAAGAAGCCCTGAGAGGCTGCAGATCATGGACACCTGGACGGTGGGTCCTCGTGTCCCACGCCCTCATCCCAGAGTGGTGCCTTCGAGAGGGAGATTCTCAATAAATATGGCCGAAGGACTCAACCTGTGGGACTCTCTTCCAAGCAGTCCGGGGTCCCTCGTTGGCTGGCACCCTCTACCTGGTTCAGTGGTGAACTTCGATGCTGGCCGGTGCTGTGGGTGAGTTGTGAGGGCACGCAAATAAAAGTGCCCTCATCTCATGTGCTGGGGTGGGAATCAGGGTAGCTGAAGTAAGTGGTGTTTTAAGAGAGAAAGTGTCAAAATTGATCTGGTGGCAAAGCCAGGTGACAGGACGGAATACCTTTGATCTGTTTGATCTGTATAATTGAGTTGCCTCAATATGAATAATTTATGAGCACCTACCTTTCCTTTGTGTTAAAAGGTAGGTACTATTTTTTCTTAAAATACATACATATAGCTTTTAACCTTTCCCCCGTTCTTTCTTGCATGTATTTTCCAAAATAGGAATTTGAGTGCTACTCGGGATCAGACGCAGGGCTAGGGGCTAGAGGAACGAGCTCTTACCGAGCTACACCCCCAACCCCATCGGGTTTGGAAAGGACCTCCTGAAGGTCCACAATCCCTCCAAGCCCTTTCCCCTTCCTCCCTCCCTTCCCTCCTGATGGTTTGTGATTCACCCAAATCCCAGTGAGATGCAATATCCATCTAAAGCGGTTTGGCCAAGTCAGGTTTGCTTGAAAACTCGTTTTCAACCAAGTGTCTCCAGGGTACCCCTCTCAGGGACAGCCTGTGGTCAGCCAGAGCCTCTATCCTGGCTCCCTGGGCCTGTGCTGTGCCCTCCACAGAGCGAGGAGGAGCAACAGGGGCCACCCCAGTCTACGTGGGGGCACCTGTGTTTTCTCAGTCACATCTTGGTCCAGCTCGGAGTCTGCTGGAGATTCCCACTGATGGTGCGGTGCCCCACAGATCTCAGTGAACACAGATGGATTGATTGGGTGGGTCTGGGTGGGGCCCCGGGTTCTGCCTATCTAACCTCCCCAGGAATAGTAGTGCTGCTGGTTTGTGACCTGGCTTACAGAACCTCTGAAGATGGTTTCAAGTATTGAAGTTTTTGCTCATGGAAGTGTGTGTGTGTGTGTGTGTGTCGGGGACTCCTCAGGCTTTTAACTAATACACTAAATTAAGGCTTAATTTAAAGTGAGCCACTCACAGAATCCCAGCCCCTGGAGGCAGGGACTGCCTTGTGAGTGACAGTTTAGCTCTGACACACAGCTGTGAGGGGGCCGGAGAGCATAGGCTTCTTTTCGTTGCTCTTCTGATAAATTCCTAGATTTAGGGCCGGCTGGTAGGCACTCGTGAGTTGAGTGGTGTAGGGCAGGGAGAGTGGGCGACCTGGGGCTGGGCGGTGTCGCACTGTTTAACGTCCTACCAGAAACACAGGGGGTCCAGGCACCTCCCATCCTGCACATCCTGCCTTTTCCAATTTTAGCCGTGCTGGAGGGCATGAGGTGTCCTTGGCTGCCTCTGCCTTTTCCTGGTGACTAATGTTAAGCACCTTTTCAGGTGCTTGTCGGTCATTTGTTCTGTCTTTTGTGCTGTTTCCACTCGCTTCTTTTGCCCATGTTTATAGTTTGTCACTCGTTATTGAATTATGAGTGTTTTTTTTTTTTTTTTTACACTGGGAATACAGGTTTTTCAGGTATTATATATTATGAATATTTTCCCCCAGTCTGGTAGTTTAACATTTTATTTAGAGACAGGGTCTCACTGAGTTGTTTAGGGCCTTGCTGAGGCTGGCTTTGAACTCATGATCCTCCTGCCTCAGCCTCCTGAGCCACTAGGATTGTAGGTATGCGCTGCTGTACCTGGCTTTTTTTTTTTTTTTTTTTTTTGATTTTTCATTTTCTTAATGGTGTCTTTTGAAGCACAGGGAATTTAAGTTTTGACAAATTCCTATTTATGTATTAATAGTGCTAGAGGTCGAACCCGGGACCTCCTGCATGCTAGGCAAGCCCTCTACCACTGAGTTACATCCCTGGATCTTTTTTTTCCTTTGTTTTCTTTTTTGCCCCTTGCTTGGTGCTGGTTCATCAAGGTTGCAAAGCTTTTCTTCCAAGTTTTCCTCTAGAATTTTTCTCGTTGAATGTTTTACCCTTAGATCTATGATCCATTCTGAGTTGATCTTTGTGTGTGTGGAGGTAAGACTAACGGTCGGGTATTTTTTTTCCTCCATCTGCATGTCTACTAGTTCCGGCACCACTTGTTGAAATGACTGTCCTCTCCCACTGAATGGCCTGGGCACCTTTGTTAAATTCCGCTGCCTGTGCCTGTGGGTCTGTTTCTAGACGTGGTGTCCTGCTCTGTGCTCTGCAGGTCCATCTGGATGCCCATTACAGTCTCATTATTGTCATCTTTACCCGAGGACCCAAGTTTTGTAAACCTTCCAACTTGATTCTTCCTTGGCAAAATCATTTTGTCTCTTCTCCACGTTTTGCATTTCCATATGTTTGGGAATCCACTCATCAGGGGGGTATGAAATGCCTGCTGGGACTTGGGCTGGGATGGCCTTGGATCTACAGGTGAATTGGGGGGAAATGGGTGACTCGACAGTACGGTTCTCCTCTTTGTGACTGTTTCATTTCCCAGTTGTTTGCTGCTGGTGCTGAGACGTTGGTTCTGTTTTTGTTTTGTCTTTGGCATTGCATTATGTGGATTTCCTGCGGATTCCTCCCCCCACCCCCAGGGGAGGAAAATAGCTTCCTTTTGGTGCTGTCTAGGCAAACCTCCCTGCCATGTGTGGTCCTGTGCTGGCCTCTGCAGAGTGCAGCAGAATGTTCTGCCTGTGTAGCCAGGGACCTCCCAGCCAGGAAGGAGGTGATGATCGTTGGCTCAACACCCCCAGCAAATAATGGTGACCACGCACAAAATGTTACTAAGACAAAAAAGTCCACTTTTCTGCAGAGACATGGCAGCTGTGTAGGGCATCCTGGTGCCACCGCGTCCAATCAGTCTTTGAATCTCTCACCTTGGCAAGAATCTGTTTAAATTGGTTCATTCCAGAACAAGATCAAGTTGGCAGCTATGAATAATTTTTTCTTTTTCCTCCTCTTTTCTTCCCCCCCACTTCCCAGATAAGCTCTAGAAAGGTCAACCAGATTATCTGAGGTACAACATTAGCATGCTGCGTGGGCCACGGGTTGCTGTATATAAGGAGTGGCAGACAGTAACAGAATAGAAAGGTATTTGTTTTATCAATGCTGCATGTAGCAGAGAACTCCCTCCCTCCCAATCTTTCCCCCCTCCAAGATGACAACTGTTTTGAGTTTATTTTGTATAGTTACATATCTTTTTTCTTTGCTTTTGTGTGGCCAGGTATTATCTATAGAAATGGGATTATTTTACCCACAGATGGTATCGCATTGCATATATTTTTTTTCCCCTTTCCATGCTTTATTCACACAAATCACTCAATACAGTTTCACTCTATAGGTTCTTAATCAAGAAAATGACAATCCTTAATGCTAGGCACTGCAATAGACATAATCAACTCACAGCAAACAATTCTAGATTAATTAATTCACAGCAAACAATTCTAGATTAATTCTAAGCACTGCAAAACACTTAATCATGATAGGCTAATGACAGACATTCCCTCTGCATGCTAAGTTCAAAAGTCTTAAGCCTTAGGCTTTATGTCCAGCAGGTGCACACTAACTTGGACTGTGGTGGCCAGTCTGGAACCAAGGCAGGCCTTTCCTGGTGAGGAGTGGACGAGCAGTTGAGGAGGAGGTCGTAGGGAGGAGTTGGGCTCTCATCAAGGCTCAGATGAGGAGGTAGAGTTTGAGAGCAGTGAGGATCACGCAGAGGCTCAGGAACGATGACAAGGGATGGATGTCGGTCCTCACCAGGCTCTCCAGCCCGAGTGCATCCTTGTTTCAGCTGGCTGAATCCCTGTTTGTTTGCTCTATTACTTATACTAAATTTGGGGTGTTTTTTGACCCCCCCCCCTTCAATCCTTATCCGCTATCACTGGATTTCTCGGTGATATCATTTACCCTGGGGTCATTTCTCGTACAGCACATATTTTTAACATGTCGTTTTTATTTTACAACAGATTGGAAGGCCAGTGGGTTCCCCGTGGCTCTAGTTCATTCCCCCTTCGCTGTGTTCTCATCCATTCGGTGACTGGACCAAGGTTTTCAATGGTTCCCCTGTGGCCGGCCACCTAGGTTGTCTCTGGTGTCTTCACTGCAGCACATTCTATTACGCGCTTCTGCACATGTGTCTCCATGGCCTGTGTGGAGAGTTCCTGAGCTCGGGAATCGGGGCTGGCTTCCTAAGGTGACCTCTCTGTCTAGGTTTCCCAGCTTTGAGCCACAGTTCTGTAACTACTGCTAATGGGTGAGCCAGCTGGCTGTCAGTCCCAGGGCTGGGGGACAGACATTTGAACTGGTTGAGCCTCATTTTTAGCTTGTGTGGGGTTGGGGATGGAGGCAGAAATAATCAGCCCCATACTTTGTGTGACAATGTGGCCGGGGCTTCCCAATGGGTCGACATGTGTTATGGATTTTGGTGTATTGGTATTAAACCATGCACATTCCTTTGGTTCTTTTCAGTATTATGAGCTTGTAACAATATACAAATGTTAAAAATTGGTTCCTTCACCTGTATTGACACTTCCTGTAAATTGCTGAGAGCATCTCACATGATGGTGTGTTTTTCTTATAGGAAAAAATCATTTATTTTCTTTTAGGTTTATTAATATTATGTAATGTTTCAAAATCTCAAAACTTATGTTGTCCAGGGAAGTTATTTTGATGGATAGGAAGGTAGATGGATAGAGACCTTTTTCTAGACCTTGTATTTTAAGATCATGGTTACATAAATGACACTTGATCTTCCAGGTTGCAAGATCCTGGTTTGCATTTCTTTTTAATTTTTAATATTTATTTTTTAGTTTTCGGCGGACACAACATCTTTGTATGTGGTGTTGAGAATTGAACCCGGGCCGCACGCATGCCAGGTGAGCGCCCTATCGCTTGAGCCACATCCCCAGCCCCCTGGTTTGCATTTTTTAAAAAACAACATAAAATGTTGTTGAAAAACTTCCCAGTAACAAGCATTAATTGATGTATGTGCTCCCCCCCCACCTTTTCAACCTAGGTGTCAAAGCTCTATATTCACAATTAAAGATGGAA